TATTTATATATATATATATATATATATATATATATAGTTCAGTCGATGGCTTAGCATAAATAATGGTTTGTGTAAAAAGTCTAATTTGTATTAATTTTATGCGAAAAGCAGATTATTTAAATTTATTTTATTTTATGAGAAATTAAAAAAAGAATGTTATTTTTTTTTTGAAATAACACAGTTTTTAGCTTTTGGTTTAATAACTGTATCATCCATCCTCACACATTTTTTTAAATTAAATGTTTTAAGATAAGATCATTTGAATTTATTAAAAAGAGTTCCACCCCGAGTAGAGCTTAATCCGCGGCTGCTCGTGCTTCGTTCGTTCAGCGATTTCTTGAAACAATTATTATACAACTTAATAAAATTTGGCACGATCCCGTACTCTACAAAGTTCACAAATATCGAATTCTTTTCAATTTAGTCAATTCTCGTTTGCTGGTATACTTGATTTATCTATATCTAGGATACAAAATACATAAATATGTATGAATAATAAATATATATGTACATCTCTTTGCTGACATTTGCATTTATCTTCATCTTGTTTGTGTGGTAAAAGTTTCCTGCAAATTTTCTTATTATGTTGTATGGCGTTTGTTGTTGTTGCTGTGATTGTTGTTGTGTGCACCTTCTTGCAATCTAATTAATATTCAGCAGGCAATGCCACATTTGTTTTTGCTGTTTTTGTTGTTTTTGTTTTTCTAACTGCTTTGCTGTCTCGGTGGTTAATGGTGTTTTCGTTGTTATTGTTATTATAGTAATTTTCCATTGGTTTTGTTTTTGTCTAGTCTTTTCTGGTATCATTTTCTTTAAAATCTCCTCCTTAGCTGAGCCATGAGAGAAGCTCAAAGGACCTTATAATCGGTAGCACAACATTAGACAGAAAAATATGCACATCGATATGGGTATCATCTGATGATGAAACGAAAAATCAAGTGAATCGAGAGTACAAATCGCAATTTACGACCGCCTGCCTATGTAGACTCTGACAACTTGTACGTGAGCACGAAAGTACGGGTAACGTAAATAAAAACAGCAAGAATAATAAAAACTCACTACATAGATAAAGGATCCAAGCATCGAAAACGTTTTTCAAGCTTAATTAAACAAAAACAGGTCTTGGATGAGTGGGAAAATCTGACGCAGATGGGAGGTAGGCAGATGAAGATCATTCAAAAAACATCCCTTGAGATGGTAGGCAAGATGTAGCCGAAGAAACAAGAAACATAGTTCGACCATGAGTGCCAAATGGCAAGTTTGTCCATCCGCTGGGAACAAATCGTAACCAAGAGCATTCATCGCACTATTCAGAGATCTACCCAAAACCTGGAAAACAAATTCATTTGAAAATAAGAAAAAAAGGAAATCTACTAAAAGCATTTTCGAGACTTTACAAATTCTCGTAAGTCTTACAGAAGCATCGACAGCGATTGAGTGGACTTTGTACGATATACTGCATATACTCGAACACACTGGATAATCTAACACAAGGAATCCTAGACAGTTGGGTAGAAAATTTCGAACAACTTTTCATTGGCGGCAGTGCTAATGAAAATCAGCACATGAAAGTGGTGCCAAAGGCAGCCAGTGTAGCACCACTAGGAACACTGGAGCTCAGGATATCAGAGAAGGTCATTACGTGCTTGAAATATCTCAAAGCTACTGGAACAGACGAGATACCTGCTGAGTTGTATAAACAATCTATACTAAGCGGGACAAGGGGATGCACTGAGGACGTTGCAACTCGGTGAAAATTTCAATCTAGTTGAGCAATAACAAAGATTAGATGGATTAATGGTTTCAACCAGGACCCTGAAGCGCTGAAAGTACGTGACCTCTAGAACTTTAGAAACCTGCATCGAATTGTGAAAACAACTCAAAAGACTACCACATTCCTAACCGAGTTTTGCATTACTGATCTGCTTGTTAGACAAATTTAGAGTTTAGGCACCCTTTATACAGCAAAGCTCAAATAAAAATTCATGCCATAATGCAATTCTTCTACTTCAGTATTTTATTATCGAAGGGCTAAGCCTTTGGTTTCAGATTAAAAAATCACCCCTCTAATAGAAAAGCACAGAGCACATTCAGGTTATAATCGTCAAGCATGGCGATATAATATTTGCTTTATTATGCTCCAAGCAGGCAAACGACATTTATTCAGCTGACGAAAGATTTGTTCCTATTTTTTAATTGCCTACTCAGTCAAAAGTAGCACCTCTTGGAAAGAGTGATAATGCGTTGGATTTCTGCGTTGGATTTCCAGTATTGTTATTGGCTTTAAAACCAGTTACACGAAGCTATCTGCGACTTCAAGGTCATGACTGTGAAAAGTCACGTGGATGCCAGATCGTGAATGCCAAGACTGTTTTTTTGATGAACGGAGATATTACGTCTTGCCTTCGTTCACTACCAGACCCATACGCTTCACTTCCTTATCCAAAACCAGCGCGCTACCTAAGTATGTGCTGCAACGTCAATGCAACAGTGAACAGACACTGCAATTAGACTTCAGCAAACCCTTAAACGGTTTATGTGTGAGTGGCTTCGCTAAAGCTTCCTCCCCTTCAAGCCAGGTATTCTTCAAGTAGATTCAAGACCCCCACGGGTTTATTTTCGGCATCATGCACTAGTGTGGCTTACGTTTTCGAGATGTGCGACATTGATGCAAGAGTGGGTATTGTTATAGCCACGCGACTGTAACTGCATACCCAGAATCTTGCCTACATCCCAATTCGGTACCATAGACAATAATATTTCATGCCTGGCAATGTTGAAGAGCCTCAGTCCATTAAAGAAATTGTATGTAGCTATAAACTTTTTGTTGTTTGTGCGTTCTTAACATTCACAAGAGTATTAACCATCTGAGTATCGTACCTTTCCAGCTAAGACTTTGTACGTTTTAGGAGCGTGACCTCTAGTCCTCATCCCTACAACTTTTGCAGGAGCTCCATTGAAAATGTTCACCTTCCAATTTGATTCGTGTCCAAACGTTTGAATATAGGCTACTGGGAGGATACCTGGACTACGCCTGGACGTCAAAGTCTGCTACACGTATCCGTTCCTATTTTTTCGAAGCTCTTTTTCCTGATATTAATTTTAACCGTTATTCTATTCAGCTTCGCAGACTTTAAAAATTGCTTGAGGTTCCCATTAAAGAAACTATTCGTTTTCCCAGCAGTATTAGAAATTTGAATTGCTTGCTCGTGAACTCAAAACATTCCTTGGCAGGCTTTCAGCCAGCGTCGACTCCTCCTTGAAAGGCACACATTGCTGTCAACGGCGTCCAAATCAATTATCCACTTCAATGCCAAAACTCACGTTCACCTCAACTAACAACGAAGTTATGAAACACTTTACGCCTACAACAACAACAACAATAATAACAACAACAACAATAACAGCAGAAACAACAAATCGACAATAACAGGCTAAACAATGACTAAACAATGATTTTCTTCTGAAACAACCGCAACCACAACAACAACAACAATCGTCGACGAGCAATGAAACTAAGAACTATTACAACAACAATAACAATAACAACATGTATGAGTATCCGTATGAAGTAACGATCCGGAGGACAACGAACGTGAAATGAATTTGTTTAAACAATTGCGACTTTACAAGTGCTGAAGACACAACAACAACAACAAAATAAGCAAGAGCAAAAATAACAGGCACAAAGTGTATAGTACAAAATAACAGTGAAACTACGTGCAACATAAAAGACAGCGATAACAAAAAAACGAAAAGTGAAAGCTGCAGCATAACAAGCGGCATGTAGCATGTGGCATGCAACCTCAGGCAATCACAGACGTACGCACACATACGATAACAACAACAAGCAAAATGGCTAAACATGAATAGGAGACATATGTAGGAGCAGCAGCAACAAAAACAGCGGCGTAGAAATTGTGGTAAGAGACAAAGAGCAGAGCAAGTGAAGGTGCCGAGGCGAGCAAGAGGGGTAGGGGAGCAGGCAAATGCGAGGGGAAAGGTGTTCTTCGTACGAGCATTACATTCAAAGCGCAATCGCTAGCAATTTGTTATGGCAGCAACGTGCATCAGCATTTGAGTAAAACAAAACCAAACAACAACAACAACAACATGTAACAATAACCAATGCCTGCAACAAAGTGCAAAAACACAGAAAACACAACTCATAGCCACGTCGAGTGGCTAGGCAGGTACAAAAAGTGGCGCAAAAGTGCCATGCGGTGGGTTGGCATGGGGAGGCAAGCGTTGTAGGCTGACACAGGTGAGAAGCGGAAACGGATAAAGGCAGTACGCGTGCAATTGAAACTGAAAATACAAATAAACAAAGAAACAACGAACTGCAATAGAAACCGCAAGAAACAACGAAAACAATAAGAAAAACAAACAATTCAAACAACAATAACAACAAAGAGCGACCGCCAGCAATCAGATCAAATACAAATCGCAACAAGCGAGCTGGTGTGAGTATGTGGCAAATAGAAAAGCATTTGTTGCCAACGCGTGAGCAGCAACCAATTGTGTGTCTACATGCTTGTATTTGTGTGCGGGGCAAGCACATTGTTGCATGCCACCGCCAACGGCGACCACTGTAATCATAGCAAATTTGTGCCGACTTTGCGCAACACCTACTTTTTTCACCACAGTCTCGAATTGAATGCAACACAAGTCTGGGCGAGCAAGTGTTGTTGTCGCTGCTAATGTTGTTTTTGCTGTTGTAGTTAGAGCCACAAATTGCCGTTGGCAAGGACAATTGTTGCATATTTAGCATTTATGCTGCAATGCCCCAGAAATGTGCCGGTACTGCCGTCGGCAATATGTGCGGATGTTGAAAAGTTTAGCAACAACAAGAGAGAGTAAGAGAAAATAGTAGCGAAAAGGCAAAATAAATATGTACAAAAAGCAGGCAGGAAAGCGAAGAGCGTAGTACAAAATACTAGAAATAAACAAAACACTTAAACTGTAAAAAAGTACCGCTATTCATGAATTATTACCGCTGTTTATTATTTTTCTTTTACAAACACTAAATTTAAGTGCGCAGAAATGCTTACGGCGTCGCTGTGTTTTCTATGCAGATTTTTCCAACATCTTTTCCCTCGCCTTCCTCTGGCGCACTGCCACTTGCGCTATATTCATCGCCTGTTTCATTTATTTTTCATTTGTCCAGCACTCACTAATCCCTCATTTTCCTATTTGTTCAACACCCGCATGCAGAAGAAGGCGTTACACCGTTATACGTAGTGTTGCATGATTGTTTTATGAAATTTGTAGAATTATGTTTAGCTTTCGTTCTTTAAAAAATTTGTTGTTTTATATTTTGCATTATTAAAAATTATTTTCCTTACCTTATTATAGACTGCAATCTTTATAGATGCGGCGGAAATATTTTGCTATAAAAGTGAGTGGAAAAGTCAAATAAATTAAATAAAAAAATATTTAATTAAACTAATTTAATTTAAATTAAAATATTACAATATAAAATAGAATATAAAAAAAATTATAAATAAGACAAAACAAAATAAAATAAAATATATTTAATTATAACGAAAAAAAACTTAAATAATATAAATTAAATATATAAAATAAAATAAACTTAACTAAATAAAATAAAAAATATTAATTAAAAAAATTAAATGAAATGAAGCAAAATAAAATAAAATAAAACAAACCAAGTAAAATTAAATGAAACGAAATTCTAAATTAGAAATAAAATACAGTAAAATAAAATAAAATTAAAAAAAAATTAACTAATATAAAATATAATATGATTGCATAAATAAATGAAATAAAGTAAAATAAAATAAAATGGACTAAAATAAATAAAATAAAATAAAATAAAACAAAATAAAATAAAATAAAATAAAATAAAATAAAATAAAATAAAATAAAATAAAATAAAATAAAATAAAATAAAATAAAATAAAATAAAATAAAATAAAATAAAATAAAATAAAATAAAATAAAATAAAATAAAATAAAATAAAATAAAATAAAATAAAATAAAATAAAATAAAATAAAATAAAATAAAATAAAATAAAATAAAATAAAATAAAATAAAATAAAATAAAATAAAATAAAATAAAATAAAATAAAATAAAATAAAATAAAATAAAATAAAATAAAATAAAATAAAATAAAATAAAATAAAATAAAATAAAATAAAATAAAATAAAATAAAATAAAATAAAATAAAATAAAATNTGACGGTGACGGTGACGGTGACGGTGACGGTGACGGTGACGGTGACGGTGACGGTGACGGATGGACGGGCAAGCTGGTGACGACAGTGCCATGGTATTTGGCAGCAATTCAATGTAGTTCACCACAATTTGAGTGGGACTTGAGAAGCGATACTTTGTATGTACGAAATGCGATCATAGCATCGATCCAACGATCGATTGTGCGCTGCTACTTTGGATGTCAAATCACGGATCACTGATCAATTTCGAGTGATTAAGCGAAAAGTGCAAAACAAAGCAAAGGAAAATAAAAAGAAAGAATTGAAGAGAAAAATCGTAAAATGTTTAACAAAAGCAAATATCGGTGAATTGCTGCCTTTAAGCGATCACATTTGTAGTTTTGGTTTTTTTTTCACATTAATTCTGCTCATTTCCTTGTTGGTTTATGTGTGTTTTTGAACTCACGAATTTTTGGTCTATATGGAATTGGGCACAGAAAACGTCGATTTTTCGCATGTAATTCAAAGTAATTGCAGAGTGAAATTAGCGACGAAAAATCACTTTAATGAACATTTTAATTAGCTGCAGGTACATGCATACATATATACATTTGGCGTCTTCCCCCGCAACAACACGATTCTAATCACAATGTTGTGCTGGAGGTTTTTTTTTATTTTTACTGGCTTTTCTTTTCTTGAACTTTCATTTCATGTCGTAGAATAATTAGCTTGTAATAGCCTTCGATAGTTGAAAAAACTGAGTGAAAAATAAAATGAAATAAAATAAGATACATGGAATAAAAAAAAATCAAATAAAATCAAATAAAATCAAATAAAATAAAATAAAATAAAATAAAATAAAATAAAATAAAATAAAATAAAATAAAATAAAATAAAAACAAAAATTAATTAAAAAAAAAATCAAATGTACTTAAATAAAATGAAATAAAATCAAATAAAATAAAGAAACTGAAGTAAAGTAAAATGAAATAAAATTATGGAGAATAAATTAAAATATAGTAAAAAAAATTAAACTGATATAAAAAATAATAATATAAAATAAAATGAAATAAAGTAAAACCAAATAAAATAAAAAAAAAACAAAAAAAAAAAATTAAATAGATTAATACGAAATATAATAAATGACTAAAAATAGTAAAATAAAATGAAATAAAATAAAAAGCATAAAAAAAATTAAATTTTTAAAATAAAATATTGCGATGCTTTAGAGTAATATAGTTAGCAGTGCGCGTTGCATCGTCTTTGTTTTTGCTTAAACAGCTGCTTTATTTATTTGTGTTGCCAGTAACATCCTTACCGCTGCTAACATCATTACGAAGGAAATTGCTATATTGCATTACAAATGCTTCCGCTGCTGACGCGACGCCTCCACGTGTTATGCCAAAAATTTTGACTGTTTAAAATTTGTGATATTTTTGTTGTTGTTGTTATTATCATGGTTTGTGATAATAAACAAGAGGATTTCACTCTTTCTCTAATTTTCCTGCACATTGCACAACTTTTTTCATTGTTGTCCTTTTTAAGGACCTTTTTGTACCTTTTGACTTGCCAAGTTGTTTTCTATTTTATTGTTATTGTTTTCGTCTTGCACAGTTATTTAGCCTTTTTGATATATTTCACTCTTTCATGCCTTTTGCAGACCGCAAATAAAGATGTTTTGGTAAATATTTCTATCTCTAAGCATTTTTTCCTGATCAAAATTGGATTTCTCTTGTTCCTAAGTATCCTTTTTAAAAATTTTTTATGACTGAAGATGTTTTTGTTCATTACATATATTTTTGCTTGTTTATTAGTATCGTTTTTTTTTTTTGCTCCAGAGCGAGACTGAAAAGGTGTTGTTTGAAAATTTGTTTGATAAAATTAAAATTTAAAAAGAAATTGCTTAGTAGGCTGGTGCTAATTAACATCTACAACAAAAATTATCAAAAAATGTTGTAAGATTTTTTTCTATATCCGACTGATATGAAGGTAGCACTTGAGTGTATTTTTTCCAATTAAATTTCAGTTTTTTTTATTTTTATTTATTTTTCTGTTTTTTTATGCTTTGTTATTAAAGTTTCCATTTTTCATTTAAATTTCTTGTTTTTAAATTCTCATTTCACTTCCAATTTTTATATGAAATCAAAATATTCACTTACACCCAAACATACACGAGGTAGACTTATTTAGGCTATCGACTCTTTCATTCCATTAAATTTTGTTCTTTTTGTTTTGTTTTATTAAATTTTTTTTTTTTGTTCGTCCAAAAGTGCGGTCAGCCGAAAATTTTATGATTGCAATTTTTAGTTGATTGGAGCGCGTAAAATTTAATTTTTGGTTGCTTTGTTGTTACACTTTGTTTTTTTGCATTTTTCATTTTGTCCTCAGTTTTGGGTCATCGCAATTTTGTAGCTCCTGTGGAAGTGCGCACGTTGTTAGAAAATCTGTCAAACTTTTTGCTCCCCCTGTTTTTACTACTTTTTGTTTTACATTACATTGATTTTGGTAATTTTGCTCATTATTCTATTTTTTCCTTATTTTCTACTCGTTCACAATTTGTAGCATATTTAAAGTGTAGCTGCTAGGAGTGTCCTTGCGGTACGGCATTCTTCTTCTTTCGTACTTATCGCATTAGCGTTGAGTGGAAGAGTAGGGCTTATGAGTGTAATTTCAATTTCTAGACTGATTTCAAAGAACATTGCACGTAATTAGTTTATTTCTATATTGCTGTTGTTGTTATTATTGAGAATAAAAGGAGGTAAATAATCTAAAATGAACGGAAAATATTTCTTTTTCCGAAGCCTCTGAGTCCTTCCTTTTTTTAGATATTTGTGGAGGGTGAAATGGTTTGTAGTCATCCTTAACGCTATAATGATACAGTCGCTACAGGGCTACACTCAGTTTCTAATGGAAACGTAACCAACCCTTGTGTAGCCTTGAATCGCTGTTAAAAGAGAGGAAGATTCAGTGGAGTCACTTCGACGTATTCAGTTTAAGAGTTCATTGAAGGTGCGGCTATGGGCAGGTGTTCTACTTGAATCAAGTGGTTCGTAATATAAATGTGTGAATAACTTTTTAATCTACTCGACTAACGAGTTTGGGACACGCTACGTAGAAACCAGCTCCATGAAATAAGTACCAATGCCTTTGATGACGACCAAAAAACGTTCACCTGAAATGTACGGTCCCTTAATGGAGGAACGGAAAAGATGGGTCCTTGTGAAATCTTCTACAGAGACTCAGTTACTGATATACACCCTGCAGATGAACATCTCGCCATGACGTAAAACAAGGGCGATGCTCCAAGAATAATTTGCATGAGCGCCTAGAGCCCATTTATGAGCGCTGCCCCCGCTCTGATGTGAGAATCGTGCTGGGCATCTTTACCGCAAGAGTAATATATTTGGCACAATTTTACTTTGCCAGTGCCGAAAATATGGTTGTCTGTACTACGTACTATTTTCCAACACAAACAAATTCCCCAAGTTATTGTGCTGTCTTCCTATGTGGAGTAGGGAACGCTCTAAGTCGACGTGCGATTGGATAGATTCCGAAACTTTAAGAGGGAAGCGAGATGCTTTTGAAGACAGAAAAGGTTAGAGCTCTAAATGCATGCGTATGCAGAGCTTTCTCGATAACTCTACAAAAAAATACATCCTGCGATTTATAGATGATTTCAAGGCTGGAGCAAATCAAACAAGAGAAGATGACGAGCCAATCGGTGACGATGGAATAGATTTTCAATTGCCCGTAAATGAAGAAATTCGAACAACATTTGCTCACCTGAAAAATAACAAAGCGGCCATGGCCGATAGATTTGGCGGCTGAGCTAAGTTTTCTCATATAAGGTCCTTTCGAGAGTTTTGTGCGAAAGACCAGAGTCCCCCGTCCACAACATTAGAACACGTCAGTGTGGCTTTAGACTTGGTACTATTGTTGAAATATTCACCATGGGACAAAACAGCACCTTTTCAACGATTTTAAAGTAGTCTTCGACAGCACATTAAGGGTTTGTCTCTACGTTGTTATATATGAATTTGATTTTCCTGTAGAACTTATACAGCTGTGTAATCCGACACTGGACAAACCAGAAACGCAAACGGTACTGACAAGTACCACGTAGAGCAGTTCGATACCAAATGAGGTTTTAGACAAGTTTAGACACAGTCCTCCTTCGACGAACCAAGACCCAGCACTAAAATCTGCTCATTATCCCTATCCCGCTATGTGTTGCGGAGGAATGAATGGTGACGATGTCTGATGTGTCAGCGTTGGAAGTTCTCGAGAGAAAGGTTTCGTGTTAGATTTACCGCAGCAAATGAAATGATGATTTGTATGAGCTACACGATAATATTGACTTATGCGGTTCTACACTGCATAGGTCATTTGGTTCAGTTGGTTAAGAATACTCCAGTTTCCGATGTACTACCCGCCGTTGGAGGCAGAGGAAGAGGAAAACTTCAACTTCGTTGGAAAGGCCAGGTGTTGGCCAGTAGAACCTGACTACGAGTGGTATGCCCAATTGGCATCGGACAGCGAAAGGAAAGAACGAATAGCGAGCTATTGTTAACTCGGCTGTAAGCGTGTAAGCCATAGCTACACTAGTAAAGAAGAAGAAGAAGATGAATAAGATGAAGAAGACGTATAGTTATTTGTTACGCTTGAATAGCCATGAGGCTTGAATTAGTTTATTTCATCAATAAATTGAAAGAAAATATTTGGAATATCTGTTTGTCTCTTTGCTGATTTTTTTTTACCTTTTTATCTAATTCTTATATGGCAATTCACTATAATGAATTTTCAAATATGCCAATGTTGATTTTAGTTAAATGAAAATTGTACGTTTATATATATGAGGGGATTAACAAAAGTTCGGTTCATTGACATCTCTACAAAATCGTCATTGGTTTCAATGCTTTCCTTAAGCCTACAAGTCTGGACTTCTGAAAACTGTCTTCAAAATCTTGCTTTTTAAGCTTATCAAGTTCAGCATTAGACGTCTCCTCGTTGCTATTTTACCCACCTCCCGCCCAACCGGCCGAGGGGCGCGTTTGAGGGAAATCGAAAAATCCAACAGACCGGTGACCGACAACCAGTCCCGACTGCCATGTACCCGAAACCGATCGCGGAAGGTCGCGGTTACACTTACCTGTTACACTAAATAGCTACAGATTTGTTCATCAGTTGCCAAAAAATTGCATGGGGGAAAGAAAAACGAGTCAAAGGAATCAATGTTGGGGAAATGTGTATTAAAATCGTTACACAAAGATCTAAAAGGGTCGTGCATTTCAAAGTTTGTTCTGCACGAGCCCAATGAAAGTGGCTTAAAGTGTCCAGATGATCTTAACGAGATGGTAAATTTAAGCTCGCTAATTAGGAAAGGGCTATTGATAGCACCTCTTATCAATTTAGTTAAAAATAAAACTACAAGCATCTTTCTACGACTATGATGTGTAGGCAGATTAATGAGCCCTAAATGACTTTTGTAAGAGGGCATCGCATCCCAGTTTAAATTTCTTAACGCGAATAATAGGAATTGCTTTTGTAAAGATTCCAATTTATCACAATACAATTGATAGTACGGACTCCAACTGAGCCATATTCCAAAATGGGCCTAATAAGTGAGGTAAAGAGTAATTTGGTAATGTATGGGTCCTTGAATTACTTAGCCCAACGTTTGATGAAAGCTAAAACTCCTTTTGCCTTATTAGCACAAGCATTTATATGATTTCTAAAATCTAGCCTAGGGTCCATTGTGACACCTAAATCAATGAAGTCAGTAACTTGTTCAACACGGTGACTATGTATCACATAGGCAAAGGGTTGGAAAGATTTTCTGGAGAAACACATATATTTGCACTTATTTAAACTTAGGGACATACAGTTCGCATCGCACTACCTGACTAAATTATTTAGATCAAGTTGCAAAAGTTTTCTATCTTCATTAGAATGAACTGATTTAAGCAGCTTGACATCATATGCGAACATGAGTATTTTAGAATGAAGAACAACATTTGGAAGGTCATTGATGAATATAATATAAGGAAGAGTAAGGGACCGAGGTGACTGCCTTGAGGAACACCAGATGTTACTGCTATTTCACGTGATGCACAATTTTTAAAAATTACTTTTTGTTTTCTACCAATCAAGTACGATGAAATCCACTTGAGAAGAGAAGGTCCTTAACGACCTTTTTTTAATTTTTTTTTTAACTTTTGGAAGTAACCAGAAACCACAAGGAGCTTTCAAATTCGTGATTTTCACTCCAGCCCTGAAAATATTTGATGCAGTACCCGCTGGTGAAAGCAGAGGAATAGGAATATCGGTACTCCGTTGGAAAGGCCAAGCAGAAAGTGACCTGGCTTTATTTGGTATTTCGAACGGTCGCCAAACAGCGAAAAGAAGAGATAAATATTGATTCGGCTATAATCGTAAACCGTAAGCGGTGCCAATGCCAATCAAGAAGAAGAAGATTATCCGGGGAATATGGCGCTGTATGTATTTCCTCGATGCCAGAGATCGCAATAAAATTACTCATTATTTTAGCTGATGGGATGGCGTGTTTGCAAGCCTCTTTCTTGCTGTTTTCCAAAAAATTTGCTTAAAACTGCTGGTAAGTAGTCTTCGGTGTACATTTTGCAGTTACCGTAGGCTCCTTTTACAGTGGAAGAGCTACGATTTTAGGTCGAGCGGAATAAACAGACATCATAATTTTTGCTGCCGATATTTGCTGTTTAAATTTTACGGGTGGGTTTGCTCCTGTTGGGCTCCATACCATGGACTGCTGTTTAGTTTTTGGATCGTGCTTATAGATCCAAT